TCACAAAGAAAATGGGGCCACATGGACACCATCCATTGACATTATTTACAAAACACTTTGAGAAGTCAATTTAGAATATGCCCTCTACCAAACTCAAGAGAAATGTCTTTTTTTTTTTTTGCCAGGCCTGGGCCTGGGCACTATTCCTGAGCTCCTTTTTGCTCAAGGCTAGTGCTCTACCACTTGAGTCACAACATCATTTTTTCTGTGATTAGAGATAAGAGTCTTACAGAGCATGATCCTCAGATCTCAGCCTCCTGAACAGCTAGGATTACAGGTGTGAACCACCAGTGCCCAGCTTAAGAGAAATGTCTTTTTTATTTATTTTTTTTGGGGGGTCAGGTCATGGGGCCTGAACTCTGGGCCTGGGCACTGTCCCTCAGCTCTTCAGCTCAAGGCTAGTGCTCTACCACTTGAGCCACAGCGCCACTTCCGGCTTTTTTCTTATTTGGTGCTGAGGAATCGAACCCAGGGCCTCGAGCATGCAAGGCAAGTGCTCTATCACTGAGCCACCTTCCCAGCCCAAGAGAAATGTCTTTTTTAAAATAAGTTGAAACAGCCATTGAGGGCAAGTGTGTATAATCCTAGCTACTCAGGAAGCTGAGATCAAAGGAATTGAGGTTTGGTGGTTCCAAGTCAGCCTAGTACCTAAGAAACAAATTAACCAAAAAGCAAAAAGCCCAAAGTGTGTGGGTCAAGTAGTAGATTGCCAGTCGTGAGCAAAAAAAAGCCAAACAAGAGCTCATGGCCCTGAGTTGGAGCTCAGATACCAGCAAAAAAAAAAGGAAAAGAGCCGGGTGCTGGAGGCTCATGCCTGTAATCCTAGTAACGAAGAAAGCTGAGATCTGAGAATCACAGTTAAAAGCCAGCCAGGGCAGGAAAAGTCCCCATGAGACTCTTATCTCCAATTAACTATCAGAAAATGGGAAGTGGCGCTGTGGCTCAAGTGGTAGAGCACTAGCCTTGAGCTGAAGAGCTGAGGAACAGTGCCCAGGCCAAGAGTTCAAGCCCCACAACCAACCAAAAAAAAAAAATTCGTCCAAGTCTGGTGTGTGGCAAAAGACTACAATTCCAGCATTTTAGAGGCTACGCCACTGAAGCAAGAGATGAAAGCCAGTATGGGCTACACAGTGAGACTATATCTCACATATTATAGGTATATACATATTATATATGTGTGTATATGTGTATGTGTATATATATATATATTATGACTGAGGGGTTATAGATCAGTGGCACAGCTTATCTACTGTTAGGGGCCCTAGATTCTATCCACAGCATCACCATAGAAGAAAGAACAAAGAATCTATGAAGATTGCCTCAACATACCTTGAGTAATCAATTCTGAATTTGAACAGTTACTAACAATTTGTTTTTCATAGCTTAAACTTATACCAGGGAATAACAAAAGTCGCCTAAACATCTATTTGAGGGTAGAACATTTTTAAAAACTTTAAACCAAACTGGCACCAGTGGCTCACGCCTGTAATCCTAGCAAAAAGAAAACAAGCAAGAGCTCAAGGCCCTGAGCTGAAGCTCAGAAACCACCCAAACAAGAAAAGAACCGGGTACTGGTGGCTCATGCCTGTAATCCTAGCTACAAAGAAGGCTGAGATCTGAGGATCAAGGTTCAAATCCATCTTAGGCAGGAAAGTCCATGAGACTTTTGTTTTTGCCAGTCCTGGGGCCTGAACTCAGGGCCTGGGCATTGCCCCCAAGCTTCATTTGTTCAAGACTAGCACTCTGGGGCTGGGAAGGTGGCTCAGTGGTAGAGTGCTTGCCTTGCATGCATGAGGCCCTGGGTTCGATTCCTCAGCACCACATAAGCAAAAAAAAGAAAAAAAGCCGGAAGTGGCGCTGTGGCTCAAGTGGTAGGGCACTAGCCTTGAGCTGAAGACTGAGGGACAGTGCTCAGGCCCAGAGTTCAGGCCGACCGGACCCAAAAAAATAAAAAAAATAAGACTAGCACTCTACTTCTTGAGCCACAGTGCTACTTCCGGCTTTTCTGTTTGTGTGTTTATGTGGTACTGAGGAATTGAACCCAGGGCTTCATGCATGCTAGGCAAGCACTCTACCACTAAGCCACACTCCCAGCTCCCCCCCCCCCCCCCATGAGACTCTTATCTCCAATTAACCACCAGAAAACCAGAAGTAGAGCTGTGATTCAAGGGGTAAAGTGCTAGCCTTGAGCAAGAAAAAAAGTTCTCGGACAGTGCCCTGAGTGCCCCAAGACCAACCCAAAAAACAAAAAACAGACAAATCTCAATAGCTTCGTGCCCAGACACAAGCATCATCTGATTTACTACCTTTTGCTAAGCAAGCATCAATAAGAAAATAGAGCAGCCACCCTTCTACACTTCTGCTCCTTCTGGGTCACCAATATGAAACTTGGGCTGGGCTGTTGTTTTTTGAGGGGGTTGGGTTGTTTTGGGTTTTGTTTTTTTGATCATGGGGCTTGGATTCAGGGCCTGGGCAATATTTCTGAGCTCTTTCACTCAAGGCTAGGGCTCTACCACTTTGAGCCACAGTACCACCTCCATTTTCTGGCATTTAATTGGAGATAAGAGTCTCACAGACTCTTCTGCTTGGGCTGGTTTAGAACCTCGATCCTCAGATCTCAGTCTCCTATGATGCTAAGGTTACAGGTGTGAGCCACCAGTACCCAGCTGGGTTGTTTCTTTTGAGACACAATGTTGCTATGTAGTCCAGGCTAGCCTTGTCCTGGTGATCCTCCTGATCAGCCTCCTGAATTCTAGTTGTCACTACTTCTAGATACTTGAACTATTCTGTTCAAGTAGGCTTCCAAAAGTTCCTTCTTGCCCTGATTCTATCACTTGCAAAGTTCTCCAAAATCAAATGAGTTTTTGCTGAAAATCTTCCATTGTTACTCAATATGAACAAACTTTTTTTTTTTTTTTTGGTCAGTCCTGGGGCTTGAACTCAGGATTTTGGCACTGTGCCTGAACTTATTTTTGCTCAAGGCTAGCACTCTACCACTTAAGCCACAGCACCACTTCCAGCTTTTTCTGTGTATGTGGTACTGAGGAATCAAACCCAGGGCTTCATGCATGCTAGACAAGCACTCTACCACTAAGCCACATTCCCAGTGCTGAACTACCTTGTTCTCCCATAACTAAAAACACCACACTGGACTATATCCCAGATTTTACTTGGAACAAAGACAGCGACTGGACTCATGGCTGAGAGGTAGAGTGCCTGCAAGTGGGGGATTCTGAGTTCAACCCCGGAGTCTGGCAATAATCAGTATTTTCAAATAGAAGTTAAAATCTAAGATAGTGTAATCTCAACTGAAAGATGCCATTTGAAGATCTTTTATGAGGGCTAAATGTAAAGGTCAAATACCTAAGGTAAGAAAGCTATTTACACAGAAGACAATTCACTTTTCCTCCAAGAAAGAAAGAGAGAGGGGGGAGGGGGAAAGGAAGAGAGAGAGAGAGAGAGAGAGGGAGGGAGGGAGGGAGGGAGGGAGGGAGGGAGGGAGGGAAGAAGGGAAGACAAAATACTGCCAGGAGATGGCTCACACCTGTAATCCTAACTACTCAGGAGGCAGAGGTCTAAGGATCATGGTTCAAAACCAGCCTAGGCAGGAACATCTGTGACACTCTCGTCTCCAATTAACCACAAACAGCCACAAGTAATAGACTGCTAGTCTTGAGCAAAAATACTCAGCACCAGACACTGAGTTCAAGCCCCAGGACTGGCACTCAAAAATAAGAGTAAGCCCCCAGGACTGGCACTCAAAAATAAGAGTAAGCCGGGCGCTGGTGGCTCCCTACTCAGGAGGCTGAGATCTGAGGATCGCGGTTCAAAGCCAGCCCGGGCAGGAGAGACTGTGAGACTCCTATCTCCAATAAACCACCAGAAAATCGGAAGTGGCGCTGTAGCTCAAGTGGTAGAGCGCTCGCCTTGAACTGAAGAGCTGAGGGACAGCGCCCAGGCCCAGAGTTCAAGCCCTACGACCGACAATAAATAAATAAATAAAGAGTACAAGGAAGCAGGTACTCTACTGGGTGCAGTGGTGTTGGGTCAAGGGGAAAGGAGTGTGGAAAGGAGTACACGAATAAAGAGGAAAATGCAGTCAAGAATCCAATGTGGGCTGGGAAGGTGGCTCCGTGGTGGAGCGCTTGCCTGGCATGCAGGAAGCCCTGGGTTCGATTCCTCACTACCACAGACACAGAAGAAGTGTTGCTGTGGCTCAAGTGGTAAGAGTGCTAGCCTTGAGCAAAAGCAGCTCAGGTACAGCGCCCAGGCCCAGAGTTCAAGCCCCAAAACTGGCACACACACACACAAAAAGAACCCAGTGTATATCCTACAAAATTAAGAGTGAGGGAAGGCGTGGGGAGGGGAGGGACAGTGAGACACGGATCAAGATACACTGTACTCTTCATAAACTGCGCTGCTAGATGCAACTCCTGTGCAGAACTGCTTGAAGACAACAAGAAAAAGCAACACTGCCAAGAGCCGCAACCTCCGGAGGTCGTTCCGGTCTTGGCAAGTGTTTGCTTTCAAAGATCACAGCCTGTACCAACGCGCTTACGACCCATCTCGCCGTTTACGTAACTCACTCCAGTACTTTTCCAGAACCCGGGGGCCCCCGGGCAAACTGTGAGCGGGGTTTGGAGTGGCTTCCGCTCCCCGGGCTCGGGGCGGCCGCTCGGCGCCGGCGGGGGCACGCTGCGCGCGCACCATCCCGGCCCGGCCCGCGTACGGAAAGGCGCGCTCGGCACCCGACGGGGTCTCCCGCGCCCCGGCGCCCTCGCCGGCCAGCGAGCCCGGCGCCCCGGGGCTGGACGCGCACCCGGGCCCGTGCGGGCGGCGGCCGGCGCTCGCCCCGGGCGCGGCGGGGAGGACGGCGCGGGGCTCCGGCCGGGCCGCCCTCCGGCCGCGCCAGCCCGGGCTGACCGTGGTCCCTCTCGGGCCGCCCACCCTCCCTCGGGAAGGCTGGGGCCCGGGCAGCGCAGCCCGGCCGCCTCTCTCACCTCCTGCGCCGGCGGTCCCGGTTCCTGCCGAGGCGGTCGGACAGGCGCCCCAGGAGCGCGGCCAGCCCGGGCCGGCCAGGCAGGAGGCCCAGCAGCCGCCTCCAGAACACCGGCCCAGCCGCCGCGGCCGCCATGGAGATTCGCCGCTTCCGCTTCCGGCGCGCGAGAACTTTATTGACAGCCCGCGCCGCGGACACGGCGCGAGTGCGCAGGCGCAGGAGCCGGGGCGCCGAGATCGCGCCCCCGCCCCGCCCCCCGAGGCCCCGCCCCCGAGGCCCGGGCTCCGCCCCCAGGCCCCGCCCCGCCCTCCGCCGCCAGGCCTTCCCTCGCCGCACGCCAGCAAAGGCGGTGGTCGCGTCACAGGAGAGCGGGTGCCGGCCGCACGCCGGGCCGGAAGGCCGGGAGCTGCGTGAACGCCGACGGCCGAGGGGCTCCCGCCCCCCAACACTGACCTGTCCCCGGCCCTGGAAGTTCGCCGTTCTGAGCCCCCAATGCTGGTGCTTCGTTTGAGACGCTGTCTTTAAAGAGGGAAAAAGAAGAGGAGAGGCCGGCTGGGAGGGTGGCTCAGCGGTAGAGCGTTTGCCTGGCATGCTCGAGGCCCTGGGTTCGATTCCTCAGCGACACCTACACAGGGCGGCTCCCGGGGTAGAGCGCTAGCCTTGAGCACAAGAAGCTCAGGGATGGGGCTGGGAAGGTGGCTCGGTGGTAGAGTGCTTGCCTTGCACGCATGAGGCCCTGGGTTCCATTCCTCAGTACCACATAAGCAAAAAGAAAAAAGCCGGAAGTGGCGCTGTGGCTCAAGTGGTAGAGCACTAGCCTTGAGCTGAAGAGCTGAGGGACAGCGCCCAGGCCCAGAGTTCAGGCCCCACGACCAGACCCGAAAGAAAAAAGAAGCTCCAGTGCCCAGGCCCCTCAGTCCAAGAAAGGAGAAAGTTTGATTTGTTCGAGACAGCAAATGCAACTAAAAGTCACAAAGATGTCCAGGAGCCTTCCAGGATTTGGTTTCTATTTAGCTCACTGTATCTGGGTGTACAAAGACTAGGTGGAACTTGATTCCAAGCTCCAAAGCATGAATCATCGAATTGCCTAACTTCCAATGAGGAGTGTGTGAGAGCCCACGGTCACACAGCACACTTGTGCCCAGGAACCTGGGCTTGTACACACAAGGGCTCAATGGCTGCTCCCTCCAGTTCAGGGACTGGGCCACGTGGCCTGCCAGTCACCCTCAGAAGGGCTGGAAGCATGCATGCAGTTCTTGGCTGGGGAGGTACTCCTTGAGACCAACTTCCCATCTAACACAAATTGCAGGCCATGCTACTGACAGCACAAGTTAAAGCACTAAGTATTTACATTAAAGATAAACAATAAAGAATGGCCTCCTCTCTTCTGTAGCCACACACGGAGAGCCTCTGGCTTCAAGGATAGTCTGAAACAGCTGTACCCAGAGTGAGGCAATCATGACTTTTTTCTCAGAACACTACATTCTCCGGTTGTAAATTGTTTAGATAATGCCTTATTTTCTTAATTTTTTTTAAAGCAGCTTTCATACATGTGTGGGTACTAGGGCTCGAACTCAGGGCCCCTCTCTCTTGGCTTTTTTGCTCAAAACTAGATATCTACTACTGGAGCCACGCCTCTACTTCTAGTTTGGGGCTGTTAATTGGAGATAAGCGTCTCCCTGCTTTCTCTGCTCAAGTTGGCTTTGAACTCTGATCCTCGTAGCTCAGCCTGCTGAGTAGCTAGGATTACAAGCATTGAGCCCCCAGCCCCCAGCTAAAGCAATTTTTTAAATGCATGTAACAGGGCTGGGAATGTGGCTTCGTAGAGTGTTTGTATAGCATGCATGAAGCCCTGGGTTCAATTCCTCAGTCCCACATAAACAAAAAAAGCCAGAAAGGCTGGGAAGGTGGCTCAATGGTAGAGAGCTTGCCATGCATGCATGAGGCCCTGGGTTTGATCCTCAGCACCACATAAGCAGAAAAAAAAAAAAAAAAAAAAAAAGCCAAAAGTAGCAATGTGGCTAAAGTGGTAGAGTGCTTAACTTTGAACAAAAGCAGTTCAGGGACAGCGCCCAGGCCCTGACTTCAAGTCCCAGAACTGGCAAAAATAAATAAATAAAATGTGTATAACAGTACACACACTGTTTCTACCATATCTCATCCCAGATGGCACTGGGGCCCAAAAAGCTGGCCTAAGAGGGTTCCTGTGCCACAACGCTGCATGGCCAGCTCACAGTAGGAAGAGAACCCTCCTTCTACTGATGAGGTACAGGATACACACCTCAAGGACCCCAGACAAGAAGGTCTCTGTCATCTGCAAGAACTCCTGGTACTTGGGAGCCCAACCACTGAGTCCAGCTCAGTCTCCCATTCCTCCCCCCCACTCACGTATACCTTCTGGTTAGTCCCATTGGTTTCTCCCCAAACAGGAGATGCCAGGATGAGAAAGACAGACTGATAGGACTGATGACAGATGCCATGTCTTCGTAAAAGGAAAAGGAAACCCATTCACTGGAAGCAGAGTTGACGTCAGGGAGTGGGGGGCTGCTGCCCCAAGAGCAGATTCCTTTCCCAGGCAGGAAATCCTGAGCCTCCCTGTTTCTGATTCACTCCTCAGACAAAACCATGCCAGTGTCAGCGGAAGTCCACTCCTCCATGGCTTGCTGCTGAGAGAGGGTCTTTCCCAAACACGGGCCTAGAGTGAACTCCAGAGGAAGACCAAATGGCTGGTGATCCCATAGCATGGTGCTCCGTGTGAGGGCCGCCATCATAGGGCCAGGTTCTCCCCCACACCACCAAGGTCTCTTGGTCCAATGAACAGAGTTGGATAGCGATCTTTTCTACAAGCACAATGCATAATGTTAGATAACCAAAGGGGCCAGCTTCGGATCTTGAGTCTAGATTGTCAGATCTCAGCCTCCTTAGTAGCTAGAACTACAGATGTGAGCCAGGTTTTGTTTGTTTGTGGTTATGGGGCTTGAACTCAGGACCTGGGTGCTGTCCCTGAGCCTCTTTGTGCTCAAGGTTAGTGCTCTACCACTTGAGCCACAGAATCACTTCTGGTTTTCTGGTGGTTTATTGGAGATGAGTCTCATGGACTTTCCTGCCTGGGCTGGTTTGAACTATGATCCTCAGATCTCAGCCTCCTGAGTAGCTAGCCCCTGGTGCCCATCTTTAAGCACTTTTTTTTTGGGGGGGGGAGGGGGGTCCGGTCGTGGGGCCTGAACTCTGGGCCTGGGCACTGTCCTTCAGCTCTTCAGCTCAAGGCTAGCGCTCTACCACTTGAGCCACAGCGCCACTTCCGGCTTTTTTCCTTTTGCTTATGTGGTGCTGAGGAATTGAACCCAGGGCCTCAGGCATGCAAGGCAAGCGCTCTACCACTGAGCCACCTTCCCAGCCCTCTTTAAGCACTTTTAAGCTAAGACACATGTGTATGAGAACTGTTGGCCTTCCCACCCCCTACCCACCACCTTCTTGGTACCAAAATGATATGGGGAGCCATCTCAGTGAACCTTCTATGTACAGCTAATATATGTTCATGGAAAATGGGAGGAAAATAACATGGGCTCAGGTAAGAAGCACAGGTAGATGCTCACTGAATGGTGTTGAGCAGCTCTCCTTTATTAAAATGCAGAAGTGGCATAAAAACAAGCAAATGAACAGTGCATAACTGGGTGCCAGTGACTCATGTCTATAATACTAGCTACTCAAGAAGCTGAGCACTGAGGATCTCAGAAGTCAGCTCAGGCATTGAGGCTATCTCCAATTAACCATCAAAAAGCCAGAGATGGCTCAATTTGTGTGTGTGTGTGTGTGTGTGTGTGTGTGTGTGTGTGTGTGTGTGTGTGTGTGTGTGTATGTGTGTGTGTTGCCTGGCTCTGGATATTTTTTGTTTGTTTTGTTTTGTTTTTTGTTTTTGCCAGTCCTGGCTTGAACTCAGGACCTGGGCGCTGTCCTTGAGCTGCTTTTGCTCAAGGCAAGCGCTCTACCCCTTGAGCCACAACACCACTTCTGGCCTTTTCTGTGTATGTGGTACTGAGGAATCAAACCCAGGGCTTCATGCATCAGCAAGCACTCTACCACTAAACCACATTCCCAGCCCCATTGTTTTCTAGAAACAAAACTCTCACCACGTAGCCCAGGCTGGCTTCAAATACCCATGAACCACACCAGGAAACACATCCCTGTCTCCAGAATAGCTGGGATTACAGGCAGGGGTGAGCTACCATACCTGACACATTGTATTGTTTTCTTTCTTCCTTTCTTTCTTTCTTTTTCTTTCTTTCTTTCTTTCTTTTTTTGTCAGTTGTGGGGCCTGAATTCTGGGCCTGGGCACTGTCCCTCAGCTCTTCAGCTCAAAACTAGTGCACTACCACTTGAGCCACAGCACCACTTCTGGCTTTTTCTGGTTATGTGGTGCTGAGGAATCAAACCCAGGGCCTCATGCATGCAAGGCAAGCGCTCTACCACTGAGCCACATTCCCAGCCACCAATACATTTCTTTCTTTTTCTTTCTTTCTTTCTTTTTTTGTTGGTCATGGGGCTTGAACTCTGGGCCTAGACATTGTCTCTCAAATTTTCAGCTCAAGGCAACACTCTACCTCTTGAGCCACAGTGCCACTTCCAGTTTTCTGGTGGTTTACTGGAAATTAGAGTCTCACGGACTTTCCTGCCCGGGCTGGCTTGGAACTTCAATCCTCAGATCCCAGCCTCCTGAGTAGTGAGGATTACCAATGTGAGCCACCAGTGCCCAGCTCCCTGATACATTTCTTAAAGGGCCAAGTAGCAAGTATTTTACACTTTGGGACCAAATGTTCTCAGTAACAACTTCTCAGATGTAGTGTTTTAAAAAAAAAAAAAATACCCAGAGTGGAGGAAAGAACTTGGCTGCATTCCTTTTAGCACTTTATTTGCGAAATCAGTGTGCTAACCCCTGAACTCAAAAACAAGTTTCCTCATACCTGTAGCCATGCACAAACCTGTATGGCCCAAAACTAGAGGAGATGAGGTCTTCTGGGAACAGGACCTACGTTCTTTAGAGCTGTGGGAGGCCCAAAGGAGCCCGAGGTTAAGAAAGAATTAATTTTAGCCAAGCCCCTATGGCCTACGCCTATCATCCTAGCTACTCAGGAGACTGAGA